CCTGAAATATTGACAGTACATCCCTGAAGGATCTACCTTTCTGACGCGTGTAATAGATGGCCTCACTAGAAATACCTAATTTTGAAAAGTCCTGTTTACTTTGGAACCCACCTCATATGTACTTGGGAAACAATATTTTATAGTTTGTATAGTTTCTTTTGGAATTTGTCAAAGAAAATTGATTTATTTTTATATTTTCGGTTGCCTATTGCAAATTAACAACCTTTAAATGCATTTATACAAAAATACAGCAGATACAATTTTTTTAAATAATACCAATAACGCTGTTTCTTTTACATTTCACTCTGTAAAATTTCCAACACCCACTATTAATATTGCAAATACCCATTATGCCAAATTAATAATAATTTCTAATTACATTAAAAGGTTATTTTTGTAGAATATATAATAATTACTAATCATATAACCGATAAAAGACCTAATTATTTTGAGTTCTATCATTTGTACGTTTTAGATCTGTTTCGTCGATAAATTACCTTTTCAAAACATCACCACCACACCTATGACTCACTCTTTCAACCATAACACGCTGCCGCTCCTCTTTTTTTGGGACAATGGAACAACTTTTGCATTATCTATTGAAAAAATACACGAGTTATGTAACTGTGTACTTACTAAATCACTAAAAAACAACCGATGGAGTAAAAATACTACAAACAGACCTCAACGAAAGGTTAATATAAATCAATGTAGGTAATCCGCTTCGCTTGAAATATCCATCCGATTCATTTTTATTGGATTATTTGCACTTCGAGGGGTTAATTGGATTGTTCTGATATTGTTTTATTTAATCCCTGTGATATTGACATATAAAATGTTAAAGGGTTTTTATTAAACGTGATGTCTATTTAATGAGTTTGAAGAAATTATTTCTTGAATCTGTATAATTTAAGCTTTTCTGTTAGGATGTTATAGGCCAGGAAATATAGAGTTGGACGCGACACAACACTGCCAAATTACAACAAAATTGGGTAAAGGATATTTAAGATATTTACGAAATAGCAATGCTTTTACAAAAGTTCAACACCCTTTATTTTCAAAACGAAGCATCTGCGGACCTATGTTTATATGAACTTTTGTCTTAAAATCACTCAAATAATTGTCTGTTCAATTTATTGTACATACTTAATTAACACCCAGTATATGTATCCTTTTCGAAATGCCAAAATAATGAGGCTTCCACTTATGTAATATAAAATAAAAAACAAAGTAACTTTTAGATTAGTTGAATTAGCTCGAGTAACATGTTTTTTTCTAAAACGATTCTTAAAATGCGAATCAGTCACCAGTCAGTGGCGCAAAGTTAGGGTAAGGTTCAGTTAGATTCTCTTAAAAGTACCCAGTTAGTCATAAATTAGTTAATAAGGAAAAACTTAACGAATCTCTGCGCAAATGATCAGCGATCGCTGAACGACTTAGCGATTGTTTTTTTTTTCTGGTACTTTTTAAACCGAACTTGACACCAACTTCCGATGTGCATGTAACCCAGTAATCATATTTAGAACACAACTATTATATTAAATTACCGTACATCCAGCTGGTATTGTTTTTTGTTGTTCGCTTGTCATTGAACAAATGAAGGCTTTAGTTGTGCGCGCATTTTTTATGGGAAGTTGTTTTAATCAAAAATTACACGGATGGGTAATTGACGAATTATTTGCCGGAGAGTAACGGTGGTTTTGGAGATTTGTTAAAAATTAAAAGCAGATGCGCTAGAAATTATGTATGCGCTTTCATAATCGTGAAACAGCAATATAGGTCTCAAAATATGAAAAAGGACCCCAAACTAAAACGACCAAGATGTTTTAGCTACTTATGATAAGATTGTCTTGAATTCCCTAGGCGGTGAGCTGAGTTGCCGACGTGTGGTCATATTAATGGCGCTACTATCGCACTAACTATACGACGGAACCCGATGTTAGGCTTATGAAGCTTAGGTAGCCCATATAGACGGGAAATGGCTTTCATTATAGCAGGTGAAAGGGACTTAGGGCTCAATCACCCATCTCCCAAATGCACTACATGAAGGACATACAAAAAATTTCGAAGACAATGAGATATTTGTCGTAACAGTAGGGTTTTGTAATCTGATGAGAAGGGAATCACTGGAAATCGAACAATATCCAAATGAATCGTAAAGACTTTCAGACGAAGATAACTTGTCTAAAGGACAAGCAACATCGTGATCGGAAAATACTGGCTTGAACGAGTACACAACAGGACTGGCGATACCGGAGATAAACGTGAGGCCACACCCACCATCTTAGTATATAGGAGTAAAGTCTTGCGCAGCAGCCTGGGAGGTATACCCAAAGCCACGCCCTCTACACCACTCGATAGCCGATCCTCGACTTTCCAGCCCACTCCCACCACTGTACACTTGTCATATAAAACCGATGACAAGATTTCAAATGGCTTTATGGGTAAAGAGCGATAATCCCGCTCAACCCCACCTCATCCGAAGTCACATCCTGCCAATGATACTGACGCGCTGAATGACTTTGGAATGTGTTTGCAGTTTTGATAGCATTAAAGATAAATGATGTTTTAACTGGACAATTGAAAATTTACGTAGTAATTTTATTTTTTTTTCCTTTCAGGACAAATTCGTGTAAAGGTGGGTAAAACTGGGTTTCTCCATTCTTGGTGTGATGTTTATTCATTTATTTGAGATCATAAAACTGACTTTTTTACTTAAAAACGCGTTTTTTAATTAAATTTATCCATCGAGCATAAATAATTAGCTGTCTATACAAAAAACACCACCTGATATTATTTTTATTAGGCAATAAAAGATGTTTTTGTATAAAAAAAGTCCAGATATTAAAAATTTGGTCTTAAACAGACAAAATAATATCGCACCAAAAAAGAGAAGGCAAAATCGCACTTATTTATTTTAATCCATTAAAAAATACTTCTTTTTCAATATTGTGGGAGAGTTATTAATATGACCCTGCCCTGTTTACTCAAAAACTTCAAAGCCTGGAAATTTCTCGGAATTGTCTAATAAAAATATTTTTCAGTAGGTATTATTTTTGTTTCTAGCGCACGATTTATTATTATTTTTTATTAAGTTACATATTTATCTTTCAAAATATTAAATTGTGAAGAAAAGATAAGTAGGCCAATAAAATAGGTAACTGAAATTATATCAAATCATAGGATATTGGGACCGAGAAATTCGATTCTGCAAAAATGTTATACAGGGTGTCCCGAAATTCATGCAACAAAATTTGGTCACAGATTTCAGGACACCCTGTATAGCATGACCTAGAATAAAGTGCAAGTATACAGGGTGTTCCGAAACTCCGTCAGGAAACTCCGGGAGGTGATTCTATGGATTAAAATAATAGCAGTATGTAGTGAAAATTTTTTCGAATTCGCTATTAAAGTGTTATTAAACATCAAAATTTTTGATAAATTCTTTCTGCAATAATCAAGTTGCCATGCTTTAAAACCATCTCTTGTAAAACCAGCTTCCTTAATAAACAAAATATTATTAGTAGATTCATTATCCTCAGCTTATTTTTCCACGACGTTATTACAGAGCGAAAAAAATCTATTTTGGTGAAAAATGAACTTGATTAATTACAGAAAGAATTATCAAAAATTTGATGTTTAATAATACATTAATAGCGATTTCCTGGTTACATTTATCGGCTTGAAAAAAGAGTATCTATTTTTTTCTGATATTGTTTCTCTTTTCAATAAAGTGTAAATTTCAGTGATGTCTAGCAAGAGAAAAAAGTTATGAACCAAACAAATTTTGAGTTCTAGCTAAAGTACCCTCTAGCGGCCCATAATGAAACTTTTCTCTGACTGGACCAATGGAGCTTCATCTACTTAGTGGGTGTGCCAAATGAGAGACTAATCGAACATGAATTAAATAAATTATTTAAATAGAAAAATAAAAAAAATCAACTTTGACAAGCTGTAACTTGCAAACAATTAACAATTTGAAAAAAAAATCATTACATACTGCTATTATTTTAAGGATTTTCCCGGAGTTTGCTGAGGGAATTTCAGAACACCCTGTATATGAAAAGGCTTTGGGAAAATATTTTAATCTTTTTAAGAACAAGTTTTTTGCTGTTAGAGCAAATTAAAACGATAAATACACTTCAGTTCTACAAAATTGTTATAAGGCAATTTTGTTTTCTTTTTATTCTATGGTTATGGTAAAACTGTACATTTAGGTATGGTACTTTTTAATTTACTACTAACTAAACTACTGTCTCATCTGTAGTTTATGAGTCAGTATGATCGAAGAAACATCGGACTTACTTTTGGTTTTGTTCCGTTTTAGTTTGGAGAAGGGTCTGACGACAGCCTTCCAAACACTCCGCTTCTTTGGCAATTTGGGCTTACGCGGTAAAGTCCCCAAGTCCCTCAAGCACATCAGCCACGGCACCTTCATGCTTGGCGTAAATATAAGGTACTCGCGGGTCACTGTTAATTAATAACATTTGGATAAACGAAAGCGGTATTCTTCTCGAACTTCAGAAGACTAACTGAAAGCTACTTGGTGACAAAGCGTAGAAAAAACATAAATAAAAGACGCCGTATGAACAATGAAAAGTCTCGTATTAAAAAATATAACCGTCTATGGCGGAACAGATTAGTTTCGTAAGGCGCGCCTAGTTGTGTCATTGTTTTTAATCGTCTTAATTGAACTTTATTGTACGGTAAATTCATTGCCAGAAGGCCTCAGTAATATTTTTCAGAGATGGTTTATTTGGTCACTGCACAGCAAAACTTTTCACTTCAATATTTGCGAAGCGATTCGAAACATAAAAAATTAAACACGGAATTCTTGCATTGATCTTGAAATATCTATATAAGATTGCCTTTTTCGGTCTCCGTATTTGAGTTACGTTTTTATTTATAGAGATATATTTTATAACAATTACGCCAACGTAGGCACTTTTGTTAGTATTTCTTTGAGGGAAATAATAGAAGTTAATTTTTTCACTCCTTACCATTTACGTCGATGTGCTCGTTGGTCTGAGAAAGTGTGTTTTCGTTGGTTTTCCTTGGATCCGTTTGTACCGTTTCGACAGTTTTTTGGATGGAGTACGTTGTAACACTAGATTCTAAAACAGAAAGTTTGGGACAAATAATTCTTAAAGCTTTTAAAGAGAAACCTTTACTTATAAACTACATATACGGGGTCTGATCAGAAAATAGCCGAACTTTTTGAACTACGGAGATATTTAGTGACATACTGTAACCACATGTTCTTGGATTGTTCATACAGAGTATCGCTGGCATATTTGCCTAAATAAAATAGTACGCCACTGCTTTACGGTAGCAACCATGATATTTTCGGATTCGTCTTTCGATTTTCTACAAATTACTACTCTCTTATGTTTTTCGAAAAAAGCCGTTTTTTCGAGTAAAACTCAAAAAACGAACTGAGAACACACTTCGATATTCGAATATAATGCTTTTTAAAATTATATAGTGGGCTGCGATAGCAACTTTGACGTTCAGATCAGTTAGAAGAAAGAATAAATAATGTTCATCAGATTCAAGCAACAATAAATTTCGAACAAATTACATTTTCGTTACTAAAAAGATGTCGGATCTGTGTTCGTGGAAATGGAGGTATTTTTGAACATATACTCAAATAGAATCAGTAAAATGATGAGTAATGTTATTAATTTTTTTATTCGAATAAATAACCAAATGATTAGTGTCTGTCATGTCATTTAAGTAAAAGTGTTTTCAGATGGTTTTTTAAATTTTACTCGAAAATCAGTATTTTTTCGAAAAGCCTGAGCTTTATTTAGAAAAATATGCTACCGATACTGTATCTCCGCCACTGGAGCATTAAAATTTTAGAAAAAACCCTCAGAATTTGAACAATGTTTACATAAATACAAGTGCCCAATTTCAAATTATTTCACTTACTAGTTTTTAAATTATTTTAAAAAATTTTAAATATTTTTTGGTTTAACACCCTGTATTTTTTTAACGAAACGTCCTAGATAAAATGTGTTTTTGAAAAAATTGCACTTTTTTCAAATAATGACTTCAATTTTTAATTTATGAAGACTTTTAAAGAAAAATTTCTGGCTTTTTTTCACTAATTAAAAAAAATGTTTTTCTACGACCTTCTCGAGTCGAGATAACTTTTTATTTAAAAAAAAATTTATAGGACGCAATTAACACTTAATTATTTTTTTCTTGAAAATATAAGTGTTCAATATTAACCTCCATCAAGCGCATCGCTGTAAAATCGTTCGTTCTTTAAAATTCATTTTCTTAAAATAAAAATTGTAATAATTATCTGAAAAAAACATGCCCGAAAAAGTGCAATTTTTTAATTAATTTTTTGACCCTTAAAATTAATAAAATCGTAAAAAATATTTAGCAGCCTGGTAGCACAAAATTACTGCTAAAAGGATTTGGACTAATGATCACATCAAAGCAAATTCGTCACAGACTTTAAAGACCATTTTAAATAAAGCTATCCAAGTCTGCTTCACGAAATGAAAATATCGCTGGGAAAATTATGTGAATAGGTGTGGGGCATACCAATAATGTGTAAAATTAAAAAAAAAGTTCGGTTATTTTCTGAATAGACCTAATATTTACTGTTAATAAACTTACTCTTGACTGTTTCTTGCAGAGTCTCTTGGTGGATTGTCCTGTATTGCCTCCTTTTGGGTGATCCTAGGGAATCTCTATAAGGGATTAAAAGGGTGCTAGTTTATTAATATCAATTATACCAAGTCGCTTCAAATTACTACTATGGATAGTAAGGGTGTCCCTTTTAAAATGAATATTTCCTTAACCCTGGTAATATCTATAATACAAAAAACTGTTCCAAATAAAAGCAGCATCAAATCAATTTTTCAACATTTTAATATTTTCTGTTGAATGTGCTAACAATACTATTAAAAGTTACTCTATTATGATGTTATTCCTCTCCTAAGTATACAATTTTAGCAAGTATTAATAGTAACAGACGTAATCGAACTCGCAATCTATTGAATTAAATTTGCAGCCTGAAAATACCTATGACCGATTTATTAGCCTTTTCATGCGCCATGCCCTAATGTCATAAAAGAAGCAATAGATAAATCAGTCCGCTGTGATGCCGAATGACGTTATAAAAAAACCGCGGAACGCAATAAAATGAATAGACTTGCATATACTGTAATTGGATTCTAGCATTATGACATGAAACATATTGTGGTGTCAGTCGGATAGGATTTCTGCATGAAATGGTTTGGGGTCATCCAATGGAATAAAACGGGAGGGCGAGGCGGTGCAGGCCATTTATTGACGTGGGCTAATGTAGAACGCTAATTTACTGTCGGTATACGGGGAGCGAAAAACGTCGGTCTAGTAAAATCTAAATTTATTTTGCTATTGCTGAATGAAAATTAATTTTTTAGCTACATTTTTAAAATAATAGTAATATAAACCGACATCTGAGTTAAAAATGCAAAACAGTCATAAAATAAAAACGTTACAGGATAAAATATGGAAGTTGTCTTTTCTCTAAAGAATTCATATCATTGCAAAAAAGTTGGCACATGATTTTGAGCTGTATATTCCGCCGATACTCAAAAAATGTTTAATGCAGCGAAATTGAAATTAAACTTGTTTTATCTCAAAGAGATTTTGAGCTTCATTCTTATGAACTCTTTTTATTTCCAGTCTCAAAATCACTTGTAGAATTTTGTTAGTGGACTATCACCACACCCTGTACTCTGTTCTCTAAATTTCTCAGGTATTCCTCAATCTGTGAAACACTCAGTAGTAGTAAGTTGGTTAATGTAAGAGTTAGGACGTAATTTATTTGAAAAAGACTTAGGAGCAACAAAACAGTTTCGATGTTGTTTTGAAATAATCCAGTCGACTGAGGCCCAAAACATTGCGTTGTGGTCATTTCCCATAAACCTCAAATTTTTTCAAAAAAAACGTTATAGAGCAACACAATTAATCAATTCATTAATTCATTTAAAAAAAATAATGTACAAAAAGAATTTTTTAAATTTAGGTGTTAATAAACAAACACACTTACTCGTTTAGTCCTAATTTTATATTTTCGCCAGCATTTTTCAGCAATCCATGTGCCTCTGAATTTGTCAGTTCTTTAGTGCTCTGTCCGTTTATCGATGAAATTAAATCTCCCTCTCGGATCCCGCGATGCGCTGCTTTACTGCCTGGATTGACCTGTAACAAGCAATGCACGCGTGTTTAGCTGGTTGCATATCTTCCGTATCGTATTTTATCTTCGTATAACAGACAGAACAGAAAACATCATACAATAATAAACAAAATATTATATTTGACTCTTGAGAAAGTAATAAGGAAATTATGGAAATGAAACTGAACCGACTGAATCTGTTTTTAAGTACTAGGTGATCGATATATCTCGGGAAGTCCATTATTCTTGGAAATATTGAAGATTTTTTTAATTTAAAAAAGTTACACCTGAAAAAATGTAATAATAAATACATAACTGAGAAACCGGATGTTATAGAAAAAAATATAAACTCTGTACATCTTAATTTTCTCGTGACAACTCAAATACTTGTTTTTGGTCACCCGCATATTAAATTAAAAAAAAAAAAATGTAAAGTATTCGATTTACTTCTGAAAAAAAACTTTTTACTGATCATAATTATGTGTTTTGGGTCATTCCCTTCGAGGAAAATATTTCAGTCGAAACTGAACAGTGTCGGAAGACATGTCAATAACATTAAACAACTTATCTTTTCAAAACAAGCACTACAAGTCGTTAACGCTATTCGTATGTTTATTTGAATTTCAATAAAACTCACAAGTGTCTTGTCATTTATGTCGTTGTGGTCGTGTAGCAGTTAATGTATTTAGATTTATAGTAGTTAAATTTGTATATTTTCCCCACTTTTTTGTCTATCATGTGCTACTGATACTTTAAGTATACCATTTATTATTTGCACGTATTTAATGCTAATTAGAACTGGATAGACAAAAATAATAATTAATATTAACCAGATATACAGTCCCTACAATATCTATTGCGATAAAATTCCAAGAAAAGAATAAGCCAATAAAGTTCTGTTATGAGAACTAGGTACTGTAACAATTTACCGCAGCAGGGGCCTTGAAACTTAGCCCGTTATTTTCAGAATATAAAAATATACAGGGTGATTCACAACTTATCCAAAAAAATTTGGGGATAGATGCGGCATGAGAAATGGAGTCAATATTGTAAAAAAAGTTTTTGTAAAATCCTTATAGTTTCTGAGAAAAAAATTATTGAAGTTATAGCACATTAAACCACTACATAGCTGGACAACTGTAGTCTCTAGCGTCATTCGCAATACGCGTGGAGAGCCATGTGACTCCTAATACTGAAATCCGTCGTTGCGGTAGTTTTTACCTGTTATCTGTGGTATTTACATCAGTTTTTTAGTAGTTAGTGTCAAAAATGGCTTGCGTGTATAGCAACTCAGAGTTGATGGATATCGTTTTAATTTATGGTGAAGCAAGACAACATTTGTATTATGGTGAAGTATTTGTGTTATGGTGAAGCAAGACATCATTTGTGTTAGTTCGTAGAAAGTGAGTAAGACGGACCCAAATGTGTTTACACGTGAGTGGATAAAATTTTGAACAATTGCTGTTGCAGCATCGGGTATGTCAAATGATTTTATTATTTAAAAACACAAATTAATTTTATTAATAATTAATAAAGGCAAAAGCATTTGAATTTGCCGATATAAAATAGGTGCGATAAAATTCTATTTACATATTTCTTTCCTTGCGAAAGTTTTTGTCCCGTTTTATCACGCCGCCATACCGGTCGCATTGTGCGATGTCAGGTTTTACAGTGGACCAGTTTCCAGTGCCGTGCAGAATTGTATTTTTAAATCAATTTCGAACTGACCTTTTTGATTTTTTCTTTACAAAATTGTATTTCCTGTACATCCAAATTTTTTTTTTTGGATAAGTTCTGAATCACCCTGTATACAGGGTGTGCCAAAATAACGTGTACATCGGAAGACTACAGATTCGTTGACTCAAAATAGGCACCCTAAATCTGCCTATTTTCATAAATTCATAAATAAAACAGAAGATAATACAATTATAAACGCTGGTACAAAAAAAAATAAACAAAGAAACGTCAATTTTTTAATGGACAAGAAGTAAACATATTTTTATTTTTTAGTGGTTGCATTCATTTGAAAATTGACATGGGCCAAAAAAATGAAGAACTTTTTTTTATATGAATCCGTCAGTTGAAATGTAGCTATGTTTATGTTTTGCAATGAATCCGGAGAGCAGTTTAGCTATCAAAAATTATCAGTAGGCATTGACATTTTATTAAAATAATAGTCACAAATGAGGGTCATACCAATAAAAAGTGTAGAAAATTGATATAAAATTTGTGACCCATTTTTTTATAACGTACCTATTTAAATCTTACGCGAATATAACGCGCTTTTCAGTTGCTTTGTTGAACGAAATCTAAATTGAGAGATGAAATCTACTGTCTGTCACCCCCAGTCAAGACGATTGGAACCAGATGTTTACGTCGCGTCTCTGAGCGATGTTCATGATTATTAATTATTTGAATAAACATTAGGACCATAAAATAGTCTCCTTGGTTTCGGTGCCACCGAGCGCTTTTGGGCCCGTCTTTTTTATTTCTATACATTCTACATTGACCTGTCAACTGGTTACGTAAACAGATTTCAAAGTGTTTATAAATAAGTATAACCACGTTTTCAAACCATGTTTTCTGACATTGAAAATACAGGGTAAATTTCCGAAGAGTTATTTGTTTGTTGGGCTCCACAAAACTACGTTGTTTGGTAAAAATTAATATTTAAATTGTAATATATTAGTGAAATAGCTAAGTTTGATTAAAAATGAAAAAACATAAGCAGGTTCCATAAACTTTTCCCTGAAATATTTAAGAGGCGTCGTTTCATATTAAAAAAAATGGGTCTAATAAATGTTGACAATCGATATTTTCCTTTATCGCAGTATTTTTTAAGGTACCCAAGTGTTAAAAGACTACCTAACTGTATTTGAAAATTTATTTATACAAGGTGTAATGAAAATATTTATCCAACCTTAATGGTAGATTCGAACAATTTCTGTCAAAGAACCCCGCACAAAATCAATGGAAAATGGGCCCCAGTCGATTCTGTTGAAATTGCAGTATGTTATAGTTTTTGACTTTCTGATCAAAAGTTGTCATGGGCCTAAAGTGATCCTACGAATAGTTTCAGAGATAAAGAGGGGGAAGTATGTGATTTTGGGATTCAGAAACTGAGGCATGTAATGAATTTTGACCAGTAGGTACAATGCTTTTGGGATCGCTGGACCTGAATTCGGGGATAGCTTAGCTATCTAAGGTCACCTGGAGGTTAGGTAAAGGCGGTTTCAAAGTCAAACTGAACAAAGGACGTATATTGAATTTTGACCAGTGAGTGTATCGGTTTTTGGGCTCGTAGAATCTGAATCTGGAGATAGCATAACCCTAAAGGTCACCTTCAAGTCAATTCAAGGTCATTTCAAGATCAAACTAAAGAAAAGGCTTGTATTGAATTTCAACCAGAGCATATATAAGTTTTTTTTTGGGGGAGGATGAATTCGGGGATAACTTAACCCTACAGGGTCACATTTAGGTCAAGTCAAGATCATTTCAAGGTCAAAGTAAAGAAAAGGCCTTTCACGAATGTTAACCTGTAAGTATGTATGCTTTTGAGGTCGCTGAACCTGAATTCGGGGATAGCTTAGCCCTATAAGGTCACTTGGAAATCAAGTCAAGGTCATTTCATTTGACTTAATCTCAATTCAAGCTCCGCATGAAATAAATGGAAAGTGGGTCCCAGTCGATTTATCTGAAAATTGAGTATTTTATAATCAACTGATTGTTTACTTGCGCTTGACCAGTAATCAAGGTCATTGCAAGGTCACTGCAGCAGGTCTTGTAGTTTTATACAGGAACCAACATTTCAATCCAGATTCTTAATATAATCTGTGAAATTCTAAAGTCTTCTTCAGTTTGACCTTGAAACGACCTTTACCTGACCTCCAGGTGACCTTAAATAGCTAAGTTATCCTCGAATTCAGGTTCAGCGATCCCAAAAGCATTAAAGTATTATTTACATTTGAAACTTGAAAACAACCACATGTTTTTATTAGTTTCGGAAACCCTATAATAGAAAATTATGTTTGAAGGAACTTTTTTGTTAATTTGTGAAGAATTAGCAGTTGAAGCTTGATCAAGCATTTTGGTTACAACCTGTATAATCTTGTCAACACCAGTTCCAAGAATCGTAATTTGCCTACTTTATAACGCTGTTTTATTAACATTTAACCTTTTACCTTCAGGCACCTTCTAATATTAATGTTTTGGTCATATAATTCACTCGTATATTTTGTAATAAAATTCAAATATATTCAGACAAAATGGGTATATATTTACATAAGAAACACCACTGTTTACTTACCAAATACTCCCGCCTACGGCCGTGTGGTGAGCAAAATTTTAACATATTTTTTGGCAGTACAGAGTTCCCAAGTCAAGGAAACGAAACCTTGTTCACCTTAACACACTAGTCGCAATACTCGTGTTCTTTCATAGCCCACTAACTACACTAACCCTTCATTCCAAACGAGCATCCTTTAAACGTTTATTTTATATATTACCGTGAGGTAAACTCGCTACGTCCCTTTAAAGCACTGGGAAATCCAATGGGTCGAACTTCGCTGCGAGGGTGCAACAAGAATGTAACAAGAAACTATTAGTATGCTTCAAATGTAGCTACTATTCTCTGGAAGGCACTTGAGCATTCAAGTGGTGATTTTTTTCATTAACATTTACAACGTTCGTTCATAGAATGCTTTACAACTGAATTTTTATGGGCACGTCTTTCTAACAGAGGATGGGCCTCTTTGTGAATGACTGAAAGTAAAATTTTTATAAACCGTCAATCTTGATAGATATTTAAGGTAGTGATGTGTTCTTTGCTTACTAAGTATACAGTATTTAGTTTCAGTTTGACAACTGACATTTAGAAAAAAATTGTCTGGGCCAATTTTCCATTAGTGTTAGGCCAACTATTATATTTACCCTCTGTATAAACAAATGCCACTCGCGACTTCTTGACGGGCTTCTTGTTACACCCTTCGCCACTACCAAAAACACTAGGATTTATTTATAAGCGAAG